CTGACACCAATCTCACTTTCAGGTTTAAGACAATTAAATATGGGCAATTGTCATACCCCAAATTTGTCCTACCCTTTTCACTTTTATCTTGCTTAGGCTGTGCATTTTATTTGCATCATTTTCATTAGGTCGTTCACATATCATTCCTTCATTCAATAAGGCGGTGGTTCAAAGCATCAGTGGTTGTGCCAACTAGGGTTTAATATTGGTTTGAGGCTTCTTTATCCAATAAGGTTGATTTCTCTAGTTCTTCCTGGAGCAGTGGATAGTGTGAATTAGGTTTTTGTTCATGGTTATTGAGGATCTCTTCTTCGTCAAGCTAGAAGACTATTCTCTTCTTCTCAACATCAAGTTGCAAGGCTATCTTCATCAGGAGTAAGGATTAAGGTTCATTTCCTTACACAAGGTCAAAGATTAGGGTTTCAACTGAGTTTTCTTGCACTAGGGTTATATCCCTCCATGCTCATGATATCCTTTCTTTAGTATTAATGCCGTTCATCCACTACTTGCATTACAAGTCATGTCATAACTTCTTGGATTCCCTTACAATAGTTTGACTTTCATTTGAAGCTTTCTCTTAAGTCATGAGCATCTGGTTTTATCCTAAATGGTTCGAGCCTAAGCATAAGAACTTCTTTGAATCATCTTCTCCTATTATATGTTTATCAACTGAGATAAGGTTTTGTCAAGAGTTATGATTCCATTGGGCTTTTGTTAAGACTATCTTTCAGAATCCAAAGGTTTAGTTGTTGTTTGGGCTCTAAGATGTTGATTATGACATTAATACGATGGATTCATCTATTCATCACTCCATTAATCAGGGATTTATGTTTCATGGTTAAGGATTCTTTTTCAGTCAACTTAACCTTAGGATACAAGGTATCATGAACTTGGGATTCAAGCATGAATCATGGTTTATAATGAGATTAAGTCATAGTATGCCAAGTTGTTTTGAATTAAAGTATTATGCGTTGTTTTCAATTGTTGCTTCAAGTGTAAGTTACTTATGACTCAAGGTTTTACATGGAATTATGGTTTCTTTAAGATTTAAACATGGCATACATGGTCATTTTGATCCAAATTTCTTGAGAAAAGGAAGGAGGTACGTCATGGTCAATTATCTTTCAAGGTTAGTAAGATCAAAAGTTCATGGAAAGCATTGAGTTCTTTCAAAGAATAGCTCATTCACTTTTAAAGTTTATCATGAATTCAAGAGCAAGTTTCATTCAAATTCTCAAGCTCATTCAAGATTCACAAATATTTAAGCACCAATTATCATTCCAGTGTTTCAAGGTTTACAAAGATGCAAGCACTAATTGAAGATTTAGAAATGTTTAAGAAGAAATGACAAGTCTTTTAAGTCTGGATTACAAAGAGTTTTAATCTAAAAAGGGTTACAAGAAATTCCTAAACCTATGCTAATCCTAACTTACAAGCCATGAAAAATCCTTCACCAATCTTTTTATTCTTCAAATCTGTCCATAAACAACCCAAAACTTGTCAAAAAGCCTTGCTGCCCTGCTGCAAAATAACCCAACTTCTTACTGTTCAAAACCTGATGCCCTATTGCCACAAACAAGAACCTGCAAGATAACAGTCCAAAAACCTGTGAACACCAGTCCAAAATTCTGCCATCTGCCCTATTGACCATTGATGTCAAGAAGAATCCAAAACCTGCACTATATTAAAACAAACATTACACCAAAATGGAAGAGCAAGAAACTGCACCTGAAAGTGTCAAAAACAGGTATTGCATATGTTCAAACTCACCAAAATTTCCCTCCCAAAACCTTATTCTTATTCACTATAAAACAGGAGATCACAGCAGAAACAGGGAAAGAAATTAGAAGAAAAAAGACCAAGAAATCACTCTCAAAATATATCTTCAACCTTACCCTGCACAAACAGAAAATACCAAGAAATTTGAGCTAAATATCTATGCTCAATACCCTACAATCCACCTGCATAAACATAAAAGAAAACTCTGACCACAACCTCCATCTCTCTCTCACTCTCCATAATCGAATCTCTGTAAAACTCTCATCATCAAATACCTCACGACAATATCTCCAACCCTCTTTTTCTTCATACACGCCCCTTCGCCTGTAATCATCATCATCTCTGTTCACTCAACCTGCAAACTAATCTAAAAATAGAAGAAACAAAGAGAATCAGAGCCTTACCTGAAGATAACGGAAGAAATCCTCCTCTCCGTCGGTAATATTGTTCCAATCGTTCCATCATGCTTATTACTGTCAGATTGATTGAAACTTCTTATTTGTGGTTATGCTTGATATCTTCAGATTTTTGTTTATTGTTGATTGATAGAGATTTTGAGTTGGCATCTTGAACAAAAAAATTTGAAAAGCAGAGGTTGAGAGAATATGAACGTGAGTTTTGAGGGGGTGAGGAATTATTGCTATTCAACCGTGTTTTATTAACACTTAATTAAGAATTAGAAGAAAAATTAATGACAACTTTTCTTCTCCCAAAGAGCCAGCGGCGCTCTCCTCTTAATTAGGGTTCCCAAAAAACCTTCATATCTTTCTCCCAAACTGGGATGACCCATTGGGTCTGATAGCCCATTTTCCATTGCCTTTGTTTTATATTTAGTTCAATGAAGAGATAAGTATAGCGATTGAACAACATGGCGCAGTGGTCGGAGCGTGAGCCTTGTATGCGTGAGATCCTGAGTTTGATACCCATTGGAACATTTTTTACCACTATTTTGCATTTTATCTTCATCTAAGCCCAATGATTATTTTTCTACTTCAATAATCTGAATGCTTATATTCACGAATGAATAAAATAGTGCAATGGTTAGCGTGTGTGTCTTTGTGAGGATCTGGGTTTGAGACCCGTTGGGACACTTTTATCATTATTTTTTTTATGCCCTTTTAACTCAAACTTTATCATATTTTAGTTCAATTATGAATATAACAGAAGAAAAAAACTTGGTTTAGTGGCAAGACAAGAAGTTATAACCTAGGTGACATGAGTTCAATCCCTAACTTCGCCTTTTTTTTCCTTTAATTTCTAAGTTTCAAGTTTAACTCTTTTTAGGCTTATTTCATTTAAAATTCATACAAAAATCACAAAAAATATTAGAATTATATTTTAATTTTCTTTATATGATAAAATCACAAAAAATATTAGAATTAGATTTTAATTTTCTTTTAATTTTCTTTATATGATAAAAATCACAAAAATATCATAATTTTATTCTTCTATTGAGTTTAATATTTATTTACTTGAAAATGATTACAAAAAATATTAGCAATACATTCCTTTACTTTGATAGTTGCTATATTCCTTCTTAGCAGTTTTCCTTAGGAATGTCGTGAAGCGATTGAAATCTCATTTCGATCATTTCGCGTTAGACTTTAGGTTTTAAACCTTAGCATGATAAATCTTAGGATATCATTTCTGTTTTAATTGAATGACAACACTAGGTAATTTCTTTAAACTCAACCCTAGGCCAAACTCGCATGCTAACTTAGGTAGATTTTCTCCCTTCATCTAAACTTTAAGTTCACGCCTTGTATGACAACAAATAGGTTTTAGTCTCCCTTTTAGACTTTTTCTTCTTTTGTAAATCTAAAACAAAAACTTCTTTCCTTACTCAAAAATCCAAAAACACTTAATCATTATTCAAACTCATTCCATACTTTACAAAAACACTTAACAAATCAAAGATCTCCTCAAAAAGGCATGTTATCTCTGTTCTACCGCGATACATGCCGTGCCTATTGCTAGAATGCATGCTTTAACACCGCCCCACTAAAAAACACCAACAAACCAACATTTTTAAGAAGAACTACGGTGTTCTGATTCCTTCACGAGATACGTAGGCAAAGGGTTGCGAGACCCTCACGAAGACACTAATAAAGAAACTATTCCATTCCCCTTAGCAGGTATAGTTATAGATAGACACACCCTTAGAAGCAAACAATCAAAATAGATCTCGTTGAGTACAACAGATGTGATGGGTGCTAATACTTTCCCTTTGCATAATCGACTTTCGTACCCTCTCTTTTGGTCGCAAGACCGTCTTATCCATCCTCTTGGGGTTTTCTTGATATTTCTCCTTCCTTCAGGATAAATAAAGTTCGGTGACGGCTCTGTTTTTAGTCGGTCGCTTCAATGAGATTAGTAATTTTTTTGGTGTTAACCCTTTGATTCTCACAGCAAGGTCTCCTAAAAATATATAGTCCAATTTGAATATATACATGAAGTCTAACCAACATTTGTTCTACCATCTGTTCTGTGTTTTGTATTTTAGTGGTAAACGATGCACTCTTGGTGTTTGACAAAACGTCTCAAAAGAGTTTTGTGTTTTGAAGCAGGTTTATGTGTGTATATTGACATTTCATAGTGATTGAGCAAGATTATGAATTCAACATCCATTTCATAACTATCTCTAGTCACCTATTAATTTGTGAACACTCAAAAAGATTCGACAATTATAAGACTAAAGAAAGTTGAAATGTGCAAACACAAATTAAAGAAATCATCCTTAATTGGATTTAAAAAAAGACTATAGATTCTCACTCCCACATTGCCATTATTGGTGTTTGCAAGAGAGTAGATCGTTGGCTGAAATGTTGTTGTTTTTGGTTTGTTGTGTCTTAACTTTTGAAAATTTTATATATAATATCTCTCATTACTTTGTATTATTTTCTCTTGCTTCTAAATTATATATAGAGTATGTTCAATTTCATTTACCTCGTAACATTTCTAATACTTGTTTGCTTCTTAATGAAGCTGAATTTTCTATATAAAAAAACTTTTGTTCTCCCAAACATTTGAGTCTAATATAAATTCCTTAATTTACAATATATTTATATATAATAGTCTATACTAATTTAGACAAAATTTTAAGCAGCCACTAATAGACGACATGATCGACAAACAACCCACCTACTGTTCCACCTTAAAAAAAATCACAAGATTCTTTTCCTTTTCCTTTTTCTTTTCTAAATAACAAAAGAATCTTCACATCAAATATTACTTCTATTATTTCTCCCAAGAAGTCCTTCCATGATCACTCTTTTCTTATACTCCTCGGAATCCAAATCCACATCGTTTCTCAACTTCATTTTCGCTTCTTCCTCGTCGTTTGTATTTACAACACCGCTCTTTCTAAAACGCGGTATAAAATATAACCACGCAGAAGTACAAAGAATGGCACAAAAACGACCCCAAAATATCATTATAACTAATGTCACAACGAGTACGGACATTCCAACTATAGGATCATACCAACCCCTTGCGTTTTGGCGGTTCTTTCTTGTCGTTTGGTTTTGCGTTGCCAACGACAGCCTCCGTTCTTGTCGTTTTGGTCGTGTTGGAGTTGTTGCTCTACCTTGTTCCCGCGTGTCTTCTGTAATAGCGTTGTTATTTGTTGGACCATGCCTTGTCTGAAACCAAACATTAACAAACAAATTCAATAATATTAAAAACATATATACAAACAAATATAGAATCAAAAAGAGATATTAATTTTAGACAAGACGGACTACTGCACAAAGTCTAAGACTTTGACAAACAGGTGAAATGGTGATAAAATATGGCTCATAGAATGTAAGTGTTAGTTCAATCGTAGTTAAACAAAGTTTCTATGATTATACTGCGACTAATATATACAGAGCCTTCAAAAACTTAAGATGGTTGTGCAGATGCATACTTGTGTGGGTGAATGATAGGGTGTGGCAGGGAGCACCGTAGACGGTTGAGCTAACAGTGGAGAATTGGTGGGTGGAGTTTTAGATTTATGATGAAGAGTTGATGACTTTGACCGAAACTTTGAAAAGGTCTTAACATTTGTGAACGAGGCTTCAAGTGGGACTGTTTTGGATGTTGACTTTGTTTTGATTCGAATCCATCTCCATGAAAACCAACTAGTTCTCTTCTTTGGAATTGGATTCAACTCTTCAACGGTTGAAGATTCAGTTGATCGAAAGCAACATAGAAAGAAAGTAGAGGTTTTGGATTTTGAAGATTTGGTTTTAGCCATGGAAAAAGCTAGAGAGAACGTGAGAGAGATGAATAATCTTAGTATTTGCTAGCAAGGAAGAAATGAGAGACGAACATGGTTTTTGAGAGCGTGGAATTATGAATGGTTTAGTTCTTGAAGGTGATGAAAGCATGGTTGATTTTAATATTTGAGAGGTAGGGTATGAGAAATTGTTTAAATGTTTTTTTTTTTTATATAGAATGTGATGATTTAATTGTTTTGATCTGAAGCATATTGTGGTTTAATAAAGACTTGGACTTTGTCATTCTAGTCAAATTTTTCAAACACGTTTACACCTTCTTCACGTTTTGTATCTGATTTGTTTGTAAGTTAACCTCCACTTTCGATATAATTTTTAATTTCTATGGATTCTTTTCTAAGGTGTTTCTAGTTTACGTGCATGCCTCGTCGCATTGAAGCATATTGCGCCTAATTGTTAGGGAGATCATGGAGGCTAAAGAAAAACAAGTATAATATGAGACTACTTATTACGAAACCTTCGTGAGAGAAACTAACAGCAAACACATAATCAGGGCTTATAGATCTTAACACCGTGTATTTATTTGAAATTGTTAAGTTGTGAACTTCATTGTTACAACTTCCACAAATTTCATTAAAGAACATAAAAAAATTAAAATGGAATTCAATTTTTATTGATTGAAAATTAACTAATCAAGCTTGACAACAATAAGTTTAAATAAAGTGCAAAATAATTAACATGGAGAAAATTTTCCTAAATTAAATGATTTAAATAAATCACCCAATTAATAAAGAAACTAACTTATAGTTTAAGACATACCCTCAAACCGAAGTGTATGTTAATAAGACCCAATGGAAAATGGATCTAGATGTATAAGGACTTAATTAGTATATGTTTATGAGATAATCGAAGGATTTGCGAGCTACGACAGTGATGCGTGCGTCCCAAAATGAATATCTTGTTTATCCCTCTTGCAGGAGCTCCTTTATATAGTGAGTGTCTTGGTTTCATCAAGAGCCTCAGTTAATGAGGGACTCTTGAGCTCCATAACCGTGTAACCATCGTCGTCTCAATGAATGAAGATGGTTAGTGTCGTGTAACGTAGCAATCAATGTGTTGTCGAAGGTTACAGGCTTTAATGAGTCGAGATGATGATCGATCACGGGCAGGTGCTACCCGGTTATCCACTCCGTCCGAGTCCAGGGTGAGGGCGAGCTTCTACCTGGGTCCATAGGTTGTCTGATACTCCCTTAGCTGAGTTGCTCTCAGGTGCCTTCACCCTGAGCCGACTATTAGTTTGTCCTTTTCCTTTGTCAGTTACGCTACACGGTAGGGTCTGTTGTTTCTGGGATATACATAAGCTCTCTGAGTTCAAGTCCTCTCTTTGTGAGGATGTCGTATTCTGTCACATAGTCACGGAAGGTAACCCAGGCATTGCCGGGTTTCTGCCCTTTTCTGACTCACGTGTCGTGGAGCGAAGAGTCACTTATTTTGTTTTTCCTGAGATAATGATGTCCTCCCATAAAACCTTTAATCATTGGGAAACGCTTCCCATGCCTAGCGCATTGTTCCATGGGCTCTGTTAAAGAACCTATTTTCTTCTTTCTTTTTCCATCTTGGTAACTGCAGAAGACGATTATCTTTGCAAAAGAATGTTTTTACTCTCCTTCAAGTGTCTCTCCCTTTTTCTAGGTATTTCCTCTTTCACTCCTTCATTTATGTCTTTGATTTTTAGATTATGGTCGTATTGGGAGAGTGTAACGATGAGGGAAACGATGTGAAACCCTCTAGTGTTGAAGAAAGAAGAGAGTTATGGGATCAGTGCATGCGAGAGAAGAGTGGCGCTCTAGGTCAGGAGGAGTTTAATAGGATTAACCAAGAGGTTTATGGTTTTACCATTTCTTCTTTGAGTGATTCTGACCATGATTCTTTCTCCTCAAGTTCTGTAGATCTTCTGATGGCCGCTTCCTCCCTTTTTGACGTTGAAGTTATGAGTTATAAGAATAGTGTGCTCGATGACACAGAGATTGCAAAAATAGGTCTTTGATGAGGATCTCCTTGACTAGGGAGGAAAGTGATGTTATCTTGGAATCATGTGTCCTATGAGATCGCGTGTGTGTGCTCCGTTGGAAGGACACTGACGAATATTTCTTTTATTTCTACGCCATGATTTTGGAAGATTTTCAAGTTCGTCTACCCTTTTTCCAATTTGAGCCCGATGTCTTGGAGGCTATGAATGTCGCGCCCTCATAGCTTTTCCCCAATATTTGGGATTTTATAAAGGCCTTTGAAATTGTTTATGAGGCTATGAACATCATTCCTACAATCGGTTTATTCTTCTCTTTCTATAAGGTAAAGGGATCCAAGAAGCTTTCATGGATTCAAGTCAATGGCATTCCTCACAAAAGCTTCCTCCAAGTGTATACCTATAATTACAAAGGTTTCAAGGATCAGTTTCTGAAGGTGAAGTGTGGGCCGAGGTGCTCCTAAGTGTTATATGTTTTCGACGGGCAGCCCTGCTTTCCTTTCTACTGGACCCAAGATCCTTCTCCAATATCTGGTTTTACATTTGAGAAGCTGAGGGGCTTAGAAGTCTAGGCTTTAACCGTTCTTAATTCCTTATGTATAATGAAGGCCAAAGACTTATTATATCTATCAGTTGAAAAAATCCTTGACTTCCTCGGTAATAGCCTTTATTTTTGTTTAGACCATCATATATTCTTATGCGATGTTTTACATCATCATATATTGAGGAATAGGGTGTCGAAGGCACGGCTCCGGATCCATGTTTTCAAAATAAAAGATCAATTTTAGGACTTTCTATCTAGGAGAGCCCGCTTAGCACGCAGAGGCCACTAAGCGCGAGTGGCGCTCAATGTATTTTATAGCGTACTGCTTGCATTCTACTATTTTAGCATAACCAAATATTTGAAGCCCGCTTAGCCCCGATAGCGTGCTTAGTGTGTTTTAGGTCGGTTTAGTATGTAAATATCGTGCATCCCACTTAGCGCGCTAAGGTCACTTAGCACGGTCTATTGAGATTTGTTTTATAACTTCATTTCCAATCATTTTTAGGTTATGGTTTTGGGGAATTTTTTGCTCCCAACTCCATCAACTTGTAAATTTTGTTAGGATTAGCTTAGATAACAGCTATGGAGCTTGCATACGGATGACATATGGTGGATTTCTCTTCGATCGGCACTGAAAACTGGTAGATCTGAAGTTCATTTCTCTTCCTCTTTGTGTAATCTTCTATGGTTGGGTTGTATGTATATTTTCTTTAATCAAATGTATATTTGTCGCCCTTGGCGTTATATAAAACTTACTATACGAATCTTTGTGGATTGTTGTCCTGGAGTTTTACTCTGTGTTAGGAATTTGAGTTGTTATAGACATATAATGCTTAGATTCTTATCTATGATGATTAATCTGTTAGTTTTTGAACTCTAGAGATAGATTTAAAGCTGACAATCTACTTGGGTATTGGAGCTTAAAGCCTCTGTGTTGTTTGTGTCGTTCTGAGAGATCGTCGACACAGGCGAGCACGGTTGACTTTTGTGTTGTCGAGGTGGTTGAGAGATTGATACCAAGGTGATGCAGTAGGCCTCTCAATTTGGGTTATAAATGACTTAGGTTGTGAGTGATACGTAGTGACATTGATGAGTAATGTTAGGTTGAGTGTAACAGGATGATATGTTTAAGTTAGTGAAAAGTAGTATATATGCATACCTGATAAGTTCTTCCTTGGTTTTTTCTTTTGCTTACATTCATTTTCTGTTAATAACATTTTTTTTACAAAACTCATTCAACCCCAAACTCATTAACAATAATTTGTCAAACAACGAATTAATAACCAATCTCTGTGGAGACGATACGATATAACCTATATATCACCCAGTAAATTAATAACTTACTTTTCCTTGCCGCTTTAACGCAGCAAGAAGCTACAATGATAAATTTTAACTTCCTTGGTGCTACAAGGAATGGTCTCTGTATGTCTTCTCCCCATTGATAGGATGGCCAAGGAGAGAATACGAAGTGTAGTAATTCTGCTTAGAAGTGTATGAGTGGTGAGTATACCTTAAACTTGTCACGTTTGCTTGTGAATTCAATGTAGTCCTTTAACATTCGGGACTAATAATATCCAACTTGGAGTATCTTCCCAGACAAGGCTCTTCCTCCGATGTGGCTTCTACATGCTCCTTCATGGACCTCCTTCATTACTAAGGTAACCTCTATTTCTGTCACGCATCTCAGCAAGGGTGTTGATCTCCCCATTTTGTATAGTCTGTCAGACATTATCAAATAGAAAGTGGATACCTTCTTTATGCGTTTAGCTTCGTTGGCATCTTCTAGCAAGGTTCCCCGTGTTAGGTATTGGATTATCGGGGCCATCCAGTTGGTGACGTGCTCGATCGACATAGTCTCTTCTTGCTCGATGATTGGATTTTCTAAGATCTTTTGTATCACAGTTTTATTTAACCCTGGTCCTTTGGTACTGGCGAGTTGGGCTAGTACATCGGCCCATATATTCTCTTCCATAGGGATGTTAGTAATCTCAAATTCTTCAGATATCTTTGACAGCCCTTGTGCTATCTTGATATATTTTAACAGTGCTGAGTCCCTTGTCTGGTACTCTCCTTTCATATGCCCTATAAATAATTAAGAATCAATGTTAGTAGTTAGATGGGTGACTCCCACATCCCTAGCCAATTTCATCTCTGCTATGAGGACCTTGTATTCTACTTGGTTATTGCTAGCCTAAAAGTTGAAGCTCAAAGAGTATTCCAACGTAAAATTGTCAAGTCCTTCAAGGACGACCCCGACCCCACTTCCCTTAAGGTTGGATGAACCGTCAATGTGAAGGGTCCACATGCTCGTATTTTCTTCGGGTGTAGGGTCGCTTAGTTCCACTACAAAGTCAGCTAGTGGTTGTGACTTGATGGTGGTTCTCGAGGTGAACTCGATGTCATATTCTAACAACTCTATCACCCACGTAACCATCCTACCGGATAGATTC